GGGGACAGGGAGCAGAAAACAGGGTCTTCTCCAGTACCTTCCCAAATGGCTGCAAGAAATCTTCACTATTTTCCACCATCATCTTTCACCTTCTTGCTATTCTGCTGACAACAGTATTTTCTCTCATGCTCAGGAATCTTCTGTCCCCAAATTTTTTAACCTCCAAACTAATTTCCCCTTCTTCTCCTTTTTGTCAATGACTCACAATGTGGAGTACATTTTTACATTTAGTTGGTAGATGATCGTATCTAATAAATTATATTCTCTGGCCTGAAACTTCCTTCAGACACTACAAAACATTCACTTTCTAAGGGAGAAGTGCTCCCCAAATCTGGTTAAACTAAAATGGTAACTCCCAACTTGCAAGATACCTCATATGATTTCATGTTCAAGTGGTGGATGTTAAGGTAACTTTAAGATTTACAGAAGGCAAAGCTCACCAATTGATGAAGGGTGAAGGGTGAGGAAGCATAGGGACGTGATATGTCAAAAACCGTTCTAAACCATGTAGTTGCATAATGACAAGGCTGAGGTAAGCTATACCTTTGACCCACCTTGTTCTTTTATTATACCTAAGATTGTGTTGGTTTCAACAGCTTACCTGAGGTATATTTCTACTCTTCTCTCACCATATTAGTTTGAAAGGACAGATTAAATGTTCAGGTTAGCTTATCAAGTAAAAACCACAGTACACAAGGCATATCCATAAACAGATTTATAAGAAACAACACAAGTAGACCAATCAAGCACCTAGTTGCTCCTGTTCAGTTAACAAAAATAATTACCCTCCCCAGGTAGGAACTGTTATAAAATAACACTGACTTAAGAAACCAAAAACAAATACATGGCAGCAATCCAATTTAAATGCTTTGAAAATCTTATATAATCTATAAGATGCATGTAGCACAGAAGAAAATAGTAGCAGAGGAAAGTAAGGAAAATACACATACTCTGATTTTCCAATAAATTAACACACGGAAGCAGTACCTACTAAAAGAACAGTATACAGGTAAAATATGGCAAAGATTTAAAATTTGTTAAAGTTACACAATTAAGCACCATGACAAAAAAATAAACACCAAAGTATAATATGAATCTCATACTGTAGGTTACTTCTGCTAAGCTCTAGGACTGGACTGCTCATCAAAAAGCACACAGGATGTATATTTTATCCCTGACTGCTAATAATGTCAGGAACTAATGTGAGCCTCTTAGGACATTTATCATTCAGCTTCATGGTGCTTATCCTTTTTCACCAGAATTAAGGTGATAACAAAGCTGCAAGGACCATCGCCATGACAGTGGTTGGACTCTTGATCATCTCTTATTTGGAGAAACATATACCTGAAAATAGATTTGAAGATTTCTTGAACCAAACTGGTATCCATCCTGTGGAATCTGAAGCCCCAAGATGGGACTACAGGTTTAATTTTAAACAATCACATAAACACTAAAATACACAGTACAGAAACGCACAGCATTACCACTGTTCATTCAATACCAATTCAAAGTTTCACTCTGAGAGGCATAACCCCTGCTCGACTAGTGAAATGGCTTGAGAAGCAGAATATCAGTAATAAAATGATTCTTAAATCAACTACTGCCATGACTTGCATTACTACTCAGTTTCTGGCACATAGTAGGCACTCCTATTGTGAATGAATTAATCACTGACCAGCCTTAAGCATGTTACTCAACTATTCTGCATATTTTAAACTTTCTATATATAAAAATTGGCTTTCTCTGGCCTAGTTTCTCAACTTGTCTGAAACTCTAACAATGACACAACCAGTAAAAAGATGCTTCCATTTCACGTAAAAGTCACAAAGACAGAGAAGTTATATATCATGATCCCCATGCTGAGGCTCATTTGACTTTCATCTTAAGATTACATACCACTTTCTCAGGAAGGAGTTCCCCAACCCCCTAGCAGTATTATGCTCCTGAGTTAAGTCTCCTTGAACACTTTATTTTCCCTTTCTTGCCCACACCACAAGTCATTACCTAAGATTGCTCTTTGTTAAATGTTTGTCTCTCTCTCTAGACTCCAGACATCCTGAAGGTGGTGGTCATGTGGGCTTTGGTGACTGACCTATTTCTTGCACCTAGAAGTACCTAGCACATAGGTATTTAGTAAATATTTATTCAGTGAATGTTTGAAAACAAGAAGCCCCCTGTTGAGAACAATGAAAACAACGGTGCCCCTTCAATATACTCAAATAATAAAAGCTTAGAAATCAGGGGAAAAAACATTAGGTCATCAGGCGTAATGTTCAGAACATCACTGTTCTCAACGTGAAAGTGAGACAAGTTCTTCCCTGGCGGTCCCAGTGAGAAAAGAAGTCACTGTACCACTGGGTGTCTGGGTGCCATTTCACAGGTTTCAAAGTACTGTCGTCATGTGTGTGCTTGATGACTGAGTCTCCAAAGAGTTCAGACACAGCTCTCTGTGGTTTGACGTGATGTTCTAAAGAGTTGTGACAGGTATACACCCATGTATGCTGGAAGTTTTAATAAAGGACTTACAGACTGTGATTTTTTTTTTTTTTTTTAGGGATCACTGCATTATATTCCCCTCTATCAACTAGCTGGGACAAAATCTTAATTTTTTTTATTTTTATTTTTAAGTTGAAGAGCACTGAAAGAAATACCGATTCTAAATAAAATCTTTCACGCATTGTAGAATATAGTAGCTCTGTTTTCGCAGAGGACAAAGAAAGGCAATTTGAGAGCTTCTGCTGCATGCCAAAGGGACTTCCCAGAGATTGTTGGTAAATGGATCTACACCCCTAAGGTTCCCAAATAAACTTCTAAAACCTTTTCAGAGGTGTGTGACCTTCAGAATCCTGTGAAGGTGAGAGTAGGAGAGAGACTTCTATTTAAACAATACACTCTAACGCTCCATGATGATTAAAAAACTTTTTTTTTTTTAATTTCTATGATTACATGAAAATTCAACAGCGAAACCACACGGTAGGGTCAGAATTTTGGAAATGTTATAGAAATGGAAGTACTACTTGCCTTTAAGAAAGATCTTGTTCTACCTTTTTAAGGAATATGTTTGGAAGTCTGAGTTTGCAAAAACCCAGTATCTTAGGTTGCCATCAAATTTAGGAATGTCAAAGGTTTGATACATAGTATCTAATCTGCTTCACATAATAATCTTATGAAATAGGCAGGCCAAGAATTTTATAAATGAAGAGCATGAGGTTTCTAAAGGTTACGTTTCTTGACCCACGATCATAACTTAGAAAATGGAAGAACCAAGGGTAGAAGAGTTGGAAGAGTTTCCGATCCCTAAACCACTGCTATTCCTAAAGAACTGTACCATTCCAGCCCTTCTCAAGCTGCTGTTCATTCTTTACCCCTCACTGAAATAAGCAGTAAGATAACAATGTCCATAACTTCTAAGTATGTAGAGTGCATAGTATATGAAAAGTGTAAAATTATTTCCCTCAAAATGTCATATCCCCACTATGTCCCTACATCTGTGATTCCTAGAGTTTAATAGTGAAAAAATTCATATTGAGTTCTTTAACTTCCAAAATCTGTTTTCTTATCTATAATGTACACTGTGCTATTACATTTGCACATCAAAGTTAAAGACAGAAAGGCCTATCAAATAACCTCCATAGGATGTAAGGGTCAAAGCAGGACTGATCTATATAAGAGGCCTAACTCTGATCTTGGTGGCAAACATACTTTATTCTATAAAGTCAGCCTTGTTCTTTTAAGTCAGTGGTCTCCAACCATGGATACATATTAGAATGAGTTTTTTAAAAAACACTGGTGCCCCAATCCTGCTCCAGAAATGAAATCAGAATCTCATTAGAATAGGGACAGGCTGGTTCTGAGGGGCAGCGGGAGTTGAAAACTTCTGGTCTAAGTGCTTTTTGTTACCCACTTTCAAATGCCCCAACACGAGATCACTTTCATGTTTTCCTATGGAAGGAATATTCACAGTCCGAGGACTAACAGCCACAGTGGTAAAAAAAAAAATCAGATTTTTACAAGCTGAATGAGTTTACTACTTCTTGGATATAAGCAGATATTCTTAAGTCACAAATCCTATACTTAATAAATACTAACCACTAAAAAAAATTTTTTTTTTAAAAACAAAGAACTTCATGTAACTATGAACATATAATTATGTAATGCTCATTTAAGTATAGCTTAAGTAATAAACCATTTTTAAAAATTTATCTTCCACTGAACAGTAGCCAATCTTCTAAAAGATTTGATTTTGGGCATTTTCCCATAGATAAAAGTAAGAAAAGGCAAATAAAGAAACCAGAAGTACAAGACACCCTATTACACAGGTATCTGAAATCAGTTCAAAGGGGAGTTTCCACTGCTCAGAGGACAAAGGACTTCTCAGAAATATTACTGCAATCATATTGCTCATTTCTTACTCAACCCAGTACTGCTGAAAAGGATGTCGCTATGTTCCCACCTTAACTGCCTTATGTGTTGTTCCTGTGACAGCTGGAGTCAACAAAAATAAGTTTGGCTTCTGGAAAAACTAAAATGTCAGCCTTCTTTATTTTTAAACTTGCTCTAAAACTCTCCCATATTATCTGATCCTATGAATTTTGCAATAGCTGCATATTAGTTAAAGCTGGAGAATGAGTAACTAAGCCTGGTCTAAATGGTATGCTGCAGCAAACATAACAACAAAAACATGTTCTATGCAATTTTTAGCGTTTTATAAAAATCTACTCACATTCGAAGGGGGCTTACACTAAAGATTTCAAGACCAAAAAAAAAAACCAGCAAGAAAATCTAAAATAGATGTAATATTCTAAATAAACCTAGGTGACCTAGCTGGGAAACTACTTAAGATTCCTTTTCTATAGACTTCTTAATTAAGAAGAAATTAACGGCCGCTACAGTAATGATAAGGAAATATTAAAGGCTAGAGAAGAATTTTGATGATGTGTTTCTGTTTTCAGGTCAGTGAGCTGTAACCAAATATTACCAGGTGAGTGGTATAAACTTACATGACTTATTGCAGATTGAACAGCCTTTACATAATGGCTTAGTTCCCGATCCATCATGGCCAATTCAACCATTGCCTTGTCCATACTGTATTCACTACTCACTTCAGCTGCAAGAAAAAGAAAGCAATTACTGTTTTCCATTTAAAATGCCATCTCTGGAAAAAGTTGTTCCAATATAATCCTTACTAGTCAATGATCTAAACAATTTTGTAAAAGGTATTGCATATTTTTTAAAGACCTCCTTAACATAGGCCTGCTTCATTCAAAATTCTGAGAATACACCCAGTAGAAGAAAGCTCAAAGGCTGGAGTGGGAAAAAAAAGTAGACTCAGACTTAGGAGTCTGAAGCTGTGCCACTTAGTTGTGTGATCATAAATCAACCACTACACTTCTCTCGGCTTCCGTTTCCTTTTTAGTTTTTCCTTTTCAGTTAAAGCAGCCCGGCCATGTATCTGCACATGCACCTCACGGGATTATTAAAGATCAAATAAGAAAGATTTCCATTTCTAGTACAGTAGCTTATGTGGACCAATTCTACTGAAAACCAGAAAAACACTCAGTTAAAATAAAGGAAGGACGGGAGGGAGGGAGGGGAGAGGGAGGGAAGAAAGGGAGGGACAGAGGGAGGGAAGGAAGAAGGGAGGAAAGAAGGAAGGAAGGAAACTCCTTAAAAACAAGAGAGTTACAAGACAGAAACAACTAGGGCAAAATCTAGAGAAAACATAAAAGCAAGGCAGAGCACAGAACACCACAGTCACATTCCTCCCCCACGCCAGCTGGGTCTCTTAACTCCTCAGATTACAGAGGAACCAAAGTAATGCCACCCAGCTCCTCCAGGCTGCAGCAGGGTTGGCCTTGGCCACTGAGCAGAAAACAGGTAAGAGAGAAAGAAAACAAACCTGTTTCTGAAAACCTATGGCCACAGGCCAGCTGTCCTGGGTTTGCTGCCTGGGTTCCCCTCACCTGAGTGGTCCGGGGAACCCAAGCCCTGATCTTGGTGTGAGGTGGTCTCACTCTGAAATAGTACCTCCAGGCACTCCCCTCTGAAGAAGACATTTTTATCCGAGGCCTCAATTAATCCATACAAATAATTGTGAAGGAGAATGAGCAGATTACAGGGGGAAAAAAATAAAATCAACAGAAAAACCTTACAAACCTTAAAAAACACAAGAAAACAAGACACCAAGAGTAAGAATCAGCAGAAACAGATCTACAAATGTTTCAGATATTGGAATTATCTATCAGAGTATGAAACAATTATGCTTACTACGTTTAAAAAATTAAAATACCCTTGCGTAACAGGAGACTATACGGAGTGACTACCAGATTGAAAAAGCAAAGAAATGTTCTTAAGTGCTTTTAAACTTTTTTTCAAGCTCTAAGTATAGGGGAAGATCAAGAACACGAAATAATACAAATTTTAATATTAAAAAAGCTGAATGAAAAGAATTTAGTAAAGTTGACTTAGTCACATTTGGGAATGCACACACTCAAAGATTCTCCATTCAAATACCTTAGCTCAGACAAATGTCAGGATTTCTTGTCTACTCTACAGAACAATAAGACAGATCATCCCAAAGTCAAGAAATAATATATGCACTTACATCTGGCTTTTGAAAGTGATTGTCCTAGACTTTAAAATTATGCTTCAATTTTACAATAGTCAATTATAAACACATTTCAGAAAATATCTCCTGGATTAACTTGCTTCTGGTAGATGTCTCTTGGCTTATATCACCCAGACTTCACAGACTGTATATATATATCCCAATATAAGGTTTTTTGTTTTTGAGGAGGGGGAAGGGGGCAGTATTTACAAAGAAAAATTTGTATTTACATTCCCAAAATTAAATACAACATTTTTAACAAAATAGTGTATGAGAAAGGACTCAAGTCATATTACAAATAAAACTGTCAGACCATCAATCACAGGTCAATGTTGTGAAAATGTCCAAATGTTAAAAAGGGAGACAAACTGTTTAGGTGTTGCTGATAGCAACATGTATCTGCTATGCATACAGCAACTGTTCGTTAAAAATCATATTAATTGGGCGCCTGGGTGGCTCAGATGGTTGGGCGTCTGCCTTCGGCTCAGGTCACGATCCCAGGGTCCTAGGATCGAGTCCCGCATCGGGCTCTCTGCTCCTTGGGAGCCTGCTTCTCCCTCTGCCTCTCTCTCTCTGTCTCTCATGAATAAATAAATAAAAATCTTTTAAAAAAAAAAATCATATTAATTACTTGATGATCAGAAAGAGAATTTTAAGCAATTTATATCCTAATATGATGGTTTGTGACTTACATAAAGGCAGGCATTTTACTGTATTTGGTTAATCTGTGGAAATCGATATAATGTTGGCAATCTCCCTCTGGAATTAAATGAGTTTATTTTTGAAAGCACATAAAAATGTGCTTTTGACATTAAAAATGCTATGAAAAGAGTTTGCAAAATAAAACAAATGGGATCATGGTTCTCATTATCAAGGTCCCAAGGATGCTAGCAAGACATGAACCAGATGGCAATTTCAAATTACAAGTCCAAGGAGACCTTGCCTGCAAAGGAGAAAATAAGTGATGGCTGGGTCAGGTTTGATGGCACCAAGCCTAAGGCAAGAATCTTTGGAAGTCACCTGGGGCTTCCTGCAGCCTCAGCGAAGGCTCCAGGGCCCAAGAATGTTGGGACAGGCTGAAGGACCTAAGTGATGAAGAGTGCAGCCAGAGGCAAGAGGGAAAACACCAGAAAAGATCAGGAAGCTAGTCCTGAGAGGAACTGACACTCACGCCCCACCTGGATGTGAGCCAGGTCAGGTCACTTCTGGTTAAAGTCAGTGTCTCCGTCCACCACAGAACAGGGCTGGAGACCAGAGACCTATGAACTAGAAGGAGTCCCACAGCAAAAGGAATCTGGAAGACAGACCATGAGAATGTACCTATCGAGTAGCAACCTTACATTTTAAGATTCTTTCGGTGATTCTTGCTGTTCTTCTTGTTAACCTTTATTTCCCTATTGCAATAATAATCTCTCTTAAAACCATGATTTGTATTCATGTTTCAGAAACACCTGACTACGGAAGGCATAGGGAATCTGTGTCCTGCCCTACTAAACAATCAAGGCGAGGGAAGAGCATGGTGTTGCATGAAAAAGGGAAACAGGCCAAATAAATCCCCGAAGGATTCAAGAGGAACTGGGAATGAACACAGACACAGGGAGTTGGCTTTTGACTAAAAAGTGAACTGGGGATGGGGTGGGTGTGGAGGGACTGACCAGCCAAAGTTTCCTTGCCCCTTTACTGCCCAAAATATAATCCCACTACCAAAATTCCCCCACTCTTATGGGAAAGACTTCCTAAAAATCTATACCAAACTAAATCCTATACATCCTTCAAGGGCTGAACTCAAGCCCTACCTGCTTTTAAACCATGCCAGCCTAGAAAGATCTCTCCTCCTTTCCTTAATTTATCTTAACAACTATACTTGATACTTTGGCACTTTCAACCATAAACATTCTTAACTTCTTATGTGCATTTGTCTCATTTCTCCAAAGAGATTTTAACCCATTTGAGGGCAAGAATGATGCTTTAGTGTTCTTGGGAACTAATGAAGAATTACAGCATCTCTTCCTTCAATGTTCTCACATGGCATTATTTAATAAATTTGAAAATTAAACCTTCACCAAACTATAAATTGTCCTGCCTCAGAGATCTATTGAATTAAAGTGTAATGAAGACATTTGATATAAACTCATTCACCCATTATATTTTCATGGAGATTTTTCCATCGGAAAAAGCTTGGCTACCAGCACGTGGGGGGCAAGGGAGGTGGGGGAAGAGAAGCACACAAAAAATGTTAATATTCACAGAATGACAATCCCAGAGAAGAAATTACTACTGTACACAAAAGCTGGCATTACAGGAGATCGGTGCAGCTGATAAAGCATGGAGAGCAGTAACGACGATGAAAAAAAATACATAACGATAATAGCTGTAACTAATAATTAGTAAGCGCTTTATTTTGTGCCAAGACTATACTGAGCACACCATTTACAGTAAACCTCACAGCAACTCTTTTATCTGCACTTTACCAACGAGAAAAGTGAAAAACTGAGCAGCTGAAGGAACCTGCTCAGCACCACAGAGGTAGTGAGGGGCACAGGGAGGCTGCCAACTCAGGCTTTCCAGCGGCAGTTTGCACACTTGCCCGCCTCTGCTGACAGGTGCGTAACCACGAGGAGAAGGACAAACACCTCCAACTCCTCCATGAATATCCAGGGAACAAACCCTCACTGGGGAGAAAGTCTTGGCCCCCAGCCTCGTCATCTCAGTCCCTTGGTAGTCCATTCCAAGTAAGACACCAGGCAATGTCATGCAACTGCTATCAGACCTGGTCCCATAAAAGCTCTTCCAAATTCCTTACATCAAGGAAATTGATAACAAAAAGAAAACGATTCTTCCCTTTTAGAAGACTACGAAATTTTTTTTTTTTAAAGATTTTATTTATTTTTTCATGAGAGAGAGAGAGAGAAGCAGAGGGAGAAGCAGGCCCCCAAGGAGCAGAGAGCCCGATGCGGGACTCGATCCCAGGACCCTGGGATCATGACCTGAGCCAAAGGCAGACGCTTAACCATCTGAGCCACCCAGGTGCCCCGAGACTACGAAATTTTAATGGTGGTGAAGAGAGCGACTTTTCACATCAGCAAGGCCAGCTGGAGGGGGTGTAAAAGCAACCAAGTTGCCCACCGCATGCCAGGAGGTAAGGAAAGGGACTCTAGCTGCTATGAAATCAAACCCGCAGCAGAGACACGTTCAAGGGGAAGTCTTCGAGTAGCAGAGATCCTTCTGAGTGCAGCCAGTATCGAAACCATTCCTATCGTCTATGCCTCTGACTGCCTCCCCCTGGCCAAATGGGGTCTGGGGAATCTAGGAATATTCACATTTCTTCGATGTGCCATTCAATGAGCATTTATTAAAATCAACCTTCGCTTGTATTAACCAAATGAACCTAAGAGATATACTTGAACATTCCTCTATAAGCCAATAACTACATAAGGAAGTCTCATGGAGAGCTCGGGGAGTCTGCAAGGCCCGTGTAACAAAACATCTGGTGCATTAATTAGGAAACTGTTCCAAGAAGTTAGCACAAGAACTAGCTTCAATATATCCCCCCGCCCCGCCCCAGCAAATCAAGTCCAGAGGGCACAGATAATCTCCGATTTACAGGATAAAATTGTAACTGTTTCTGTAAGTATGTCAGCAGCAGGGCTGTCCTCCTTCAAATCTGAGTGTCTGTGCCGAGGGATCCTGGTTGGCACCATCCCGAATACTTCAGACTGTTAATAGTACCCAAAGAACTTTAAAAATGTTATTTAGACCAGAGAGGGCCAAAGAATGAAACCCATTTTTATTTTTATTTATTTAATTTTATTTATTTATTTGACAGAGAGACACAGCGAGAGAGGGAACACAAGCAGGAGGAGTGCGAGAGGGAGAAGCAGGCTTCTCACTGAGCATGGAGCCCGATGCGGGGCTCGATCCCAGGACCCTACGATTGTGACCCAAGCCAAAGGCAGGCTTTTAACCACTGAGTCACCCAGGCGCCCCGAAACCCATTTTTAAAAGACGATTTCTCTTTCATTTTTGTTTTTCCTGTTCAGTGGCAAACCTTAGAAGAATAATGACAGTCACTAAAGGACGACTTCTTTTTAGACTCAAGTGCTCTGACATTTATAGAATATAAAGTGTCTGAATGGATGCAGTTGGCCTGTGTATGATTTCCCTAAAGTCAAACAAACCTATAATTATGCAATCTAAGCAGCCACGCTATTCATTAGACACGTCATCTGTTTCTCAATGTCAAAACGCGCTAACAGCAATATTCTATTACTATTCCCTGTTTGAAGTGTTGAATAAGGCATTAAAGTTACATGATCTGTACAACACTAAGCAGAAATGGGTGATTTCGTGTTGCAATCACTTCAACTTAAAACAAAATTCATGAGGCTTCAATGAGACAAAGGTGATAGCAGGAACAAGTTATAAAAGCAAAATAGTAACAATCAATGCTAGTTGTCTCCAGTATGAAAGACCAGGGCAAAATGAGGCCAAGAGATAGGTCTGAGAAAGAAATGGAAGGGAGATGACAAACTAGCTACTTTTACAGATGCAGACTCATGTGAGGCAAATGCCAAGTCCTCTATTTATAACCAAAAGATACAGGTAATAAGCCTATAGCAATATGGTAATTCTTGCGTAGCACAGCATGGACTCATGAGAGTTTATCATTCAGGGTGAGTTCCAAGATTGTCTAGGGTCTCTTCACATATTATTTGCTCAATATAATGCTATTTTAGGCCAATGGTTAAAAGTGAGGGAGCAGAAGATTCTTTATCTTGGCTTCTCCAAGTCCAGGTGGGCATGGTCAGTAGACCAATTAAGCTCTTGTTCCAGACCAGCGACCAGTTCCGCAGAAGGGAAGGGAAGGGAAGAGATGCAGCTAAGAGATGCAGCCTGTAGACCAACTATTCTAAATAAGGCCCCTCCCTAGCCACAGCTGCCTAGAGCTGCAGCTCAAGGCATCTGCACTAGAGAGAAATAAAGTCTCTTCCCTAAGGCCCAGTTCTGAGGTTTGGGAAACATAGCTGAAACAGGGCCAAGCACATGTAGTACCTAGTAGAGCCAAGCAAGTTCTCTTAGCAACCCCTCAGGTCCTCAGTAGAACTGCCTTCAGTGAAACAGACATGAAAAAGAGGACATTTTCCCTCCTCTTTCCCCTAACATGTCCATACACATCTGGGTACCACCTCTACACAACCAGATGTCTTTTTGCTTCGCTCTGCTGTTCTCTATGATCTCAGCCACAGATCCCTTTCCTGAATCCTCCCTAATCTCCAGAAGAGGACCAAATGCTTCATGTCTTATAGGTCCATAAAACTTCCCTACCTTTACAACTAGGACACGTGTGAATGTGTGTGTGTTAGGGGGGCATGCCCTTAAGACAAATTTCATCTACTTACCCCTTCCAACTTTTTTTTTTTTTTAAAGATTTTATTTATTTGAGACAGAGAGAATGAGAGAGAGAGCACATGAGAGGGGGGAGGGTCAGAGGGAGAAGCAGGCTCCCTGCCGAGCAGGGAGCCCGATGCGGGACTCGATCCAGGGACTCCAGGATCATGACCTGAGCCGAAAGCAGTCGCTTAACCAACTGAGCCACCCAGGCGCCCTAGCCCTTCCAACTTTTTGTTCCTGATTCAATTATACAGTTCTGTCCCTGGCCAAGTCATTTCCTGAAATCTGTCCTAAACAAATAAAAACTGCAGAATCTGGTGTTCTTTATTCTACGAAGTCATATGGGCATGTCTGAACAGGAACAATACCAATTACATATAGTTGATTAAATTCAACTCCACACATTTGATCAATAAAATGCCGGACTAAGACAAAGCAGCCATTTAGTGTTCTTCTAGGGTTACTGATTCCAATTCAACATGAATCACATACCTAGAAGGATCTGATAAATATCCACACCATAAAGTACATATGTCCATTTTGGCAAGGAGCAGGGAAGAAAACAAGGCAGGGAATTGCCTGATTGGATTTTAAATTTCCTAGAACAGATGGAACATGGAATAGAGAGATTTTACTTTTTGAAACAAATCTCTTCCTAATCTCTTCAGAGATTCTTCTATATTTTGTAAACAAGAAATTTCGTCTTTCAGGATGAACTCAAACAAATGACAGTATAAATCATACCTTTCCCTCCCTCCACAAAAAAACAAAAACAAAACAAAACAAAAAAAACCCTTCCTCTCTTAAAATACAGCTCCAACTATCTCTAGCAACATATACCTACATGCACACCTACCTTTGTGAGTGGGTGTGTGTGTATGTTTTTCCTGGCAGCCTAGTATTAAGCAATCATTATATATTCATCAGGAGTCAAATTTAATGACTTACTCACTGCTTGAGCAATATTTAATAGAAACTTGTTACTTCTCACTACACTGTACTTTAGCCATAATTATTCCTCCCCACAGATAATAGTGTGGAGGAAAAGTAAAAACCAAATCCACATTCTATAACTGCCTCCCACCAGAAATAGTAGTGAAGAGTAGAACGGAGTTATGGTACAAACTGGTACGCAACTATAAACACAGCGAATATGGGGGAAATCTTAAAGAAATATTGACCTTTACAATCCTCTTTACTCATCCATACAATTTTCTTGTCAATAATACAGAAGAGGCAAGTTGTATAATACAGGAACTCAAAAAGCCAGCTCTGGAGTCAGATTATATTCAAATCTAGGCTCTATTAACTTTCTAGCTATGTAGTCTTTGGTCAGTCACCGTATTAGAGTTTCCTCTTCTGTGGAATGGGTACAATAACAGTATTTAACTCATAAAGCCAAGATAAGGACTAAATGAGAAAACACAGACAAAATAATCAGCACAGGGCCTGGCCCATGGTAAGCACAAACAAAATATCTGTCATTATAATTACTGCTGAATGGAAAACTACTCTGCAAATGTAATTAGCCTAAATGCTGAAATCATTTTACTCTTAGAACCAAAAGGTATCAAGTGAAGGTCACCTCCTTAACTCTCTCAGCTGTTTTTTCTAACTTGAGACCAAAGCACTAAGTTGAACTCACAAAACCGCAATGCTCAATGAGAAGCTCTGTAAACCTTCCCCTACCAACTCATGTCCAGAAGCCCATTTACCTAGTATATGCTTAAGTACTTACTATATGCCAGGCAGAGGGAAAAAATGCGTTCAAGCAAGGAGCAGCTACTCCTGCCCACAGAAGGTAGGAAAGGTTTAACCGGTGAGGGGATAAATTTGTACTGTATCTTGAAAGATGAGTAGGTGTGCACCAGATGTTCACCAGACTGAAGGAGAGGCTAAACAAATGCTCTCACCCCTATCCACAGAGGCTGAATTCGAGTTTAAATTCTCAAACAAAAACACTGGGGATGAGAAAAGAGGAGAAAGATACAGATTAAAAAAAAAAAAAAAGAACAAATCTTCACTGAATACTGACAATGTGCACTTTGAACATACTACTCATTCTATCCTTTGTTACAACAATATGAATTAGGTGTTATTAAAAGTAATTCAAGAAGGAAACGGATACTCATAGAGGTTAAATCATTTGCCCCAGGTCACACAGTTAATACATGGTGACATTAGGAACTGACCTCAGGTCTAACTTTAAAGTTAGCAGGGAAAGCACAAGCTGTAAGGGTCTGAATTACTACACACCAGCAAATAATCCACTCATGCAAAAGTCCCGGGGTAATAAATGATCAGTTCTCTAGATAAAGGAATTCTCCTAAACATTACCTTTTTGTAAGAGAGAGAGAGAGAGCAAGTAAAATTGACTTACATAGTTCTACCCCACAGTAATGGAGACCATCTTTCATTATATAGACAGGTATTTCCTTAAAACATATAGTTAATATTCCATAAACCACCATGGTAACGGATAACTCAAAATATTGCTTGAAATAAATTCTATGAAGGATTAGGTTCACAAAATCATAGAAACGGTCTCTGGATACAATCTAGTCTCTACTAGCCATCAAAAGCACTATGAATCCCAGGCTATGGGTAGCTACCATTTTAAAACATACCCACAGGGCCGCCTGGGTGGCTCAGTGGGTTAAGTGTGGGCCTTCGGCTCAGGTCACGATCCCAGGGTCCTGGGATCCTGCTCATCAGGCTCCCTGCTCAGTGGGGAGTCTGCTTCCTCCCCTGCTCCACCCCCTCTCAAAAATAAATAAATGAATAAATAAAATAAGTAAAGCATGTGGTTGAGAATTAAGCACACAGCTGAAAAATTCAAACAGCATAATCATGTGGTGTCTCCAATCCCCAAACTCCCTCCCCAGAAGCAACCATTGTAATGAGGTTCTCATTCCATGGAAATACTCTATGTATAAGGAACCCTCTTTTACAAAGGACAACAGAAATTAAGGCAAACAAATATATCGGGGAAAACAACATGAACATACTAAAAACAAGAAAGGAGAGATGCTAAACAAAGAATACAATATGGGTGGCTAGAGGGGAACTTCCATTCACTCACTGAATAAATATTTACCAAGCACAGACCATGTGCCTGGCACTCTGTTTGGTGGCCTGGACAGAGCAGCAAACAAGGTAAACCCTGCACCTTTTCTCAAACAGCTTATACAAATTTCCACTCCATGCAAAAATTTCAAAAAAGCCCTGATAGGACTACCCTGCCTGTGTTTGGCTCTTGGTGTGGTGGGAAAGCCTGTTCTCTGCCAAACAGCTCTAAGTATTAGAGCCCTTCCAAAGACAGAGCTGATTCATCACCACCCTAGAACAACTCTAGGCAATGACAACAATAAATGTGAATTGCTCTCACACACATTAACTTATCTACATCTCATAACCTCCGTATAGTGATTTTACTCTGTTTTATATGGCTGCGGAAATTGAGGCTCAGAGAGGTTAAGTGATTCACTGAAGTCATGCCCCAATATCAGAAGTGGGACTTGAACCCTAGTCCTCAACAGCAGACTGCAGAAGAGCTATTACTGAGCCACACAGAAACAGTCAACTCTCCCAGATCACAGTTTTTCCAAGAGCTGAAGATGCCTCTTAAGTATTTCCTACCTTTAAGCTTTGCTTCTCCAGGATAAATAATGATCAAGTTCATTCGACCCAGCTGACGTGCCTTCATTTAAATGTGCTTCATTTGCTAGTGTCCCTTTTACAGATGGACTCCAGAAATTAAAAACAAGTACAGCCATGGGTTAACCAATGAAGGCTAGGATAACACCGTTATTACATGTGTACTGCTGAGATCACGTGTTGATTACCAGCTTTCTTTCAAGAAATTAAATAGTAACATTTATTGAGCACTCACTATGTGCCAGACACTATGCTAAGCAATTTATACACATCATTTCATTCAATCCTTAGACTAACTCTGTGAAGGAGACACCATCATTATCCCCATCCAGCGGAACAAAAAAATGGGCTCAGAGAGGTTAAGTACCCTGAACCAAGGTTATATAGCCAATGAGCTGTAGAGAGAACATTCAAATGGGGGGTCTATTAAGTAACAGAATCCATTCTCCTAACTATCTCAATAATCATCACCCTCTGGGCATAACCCATTACTCCATGTCCTAAGACTTTGCCAAATGCCTTCCTAAGATCTATTCATATTAGACTAAAAATCATCCCTACTGTACCAGGGCAATCACAATTAAAAAAAGGGGGTGAGGGGTGAAGAGGAACTAGGGTAATCAAACTCATAAATGAGACTGCTACTCAAAAAAAGGTTAATGATCTTTTGCTTGCACGTGGACAGCAAACTGCCTTAGACCAGCCTATCTCCGTACTCATTTTAAATAAATTTATACCAGAAAAAATTTCAAATGGGGTCAGCCTACTTTAAAATAGAAAGTTAATGAAACAGAAATTAAGTCCTCAAAAAATATAAAAATAAGTTTGAGGGGCACCTGGGTGGCTCAGTCAGTTAAGCGTCCAACTCTTGAGTTCAGCTCAGGTCTTGATCTCAGGGTCGTGAGTTCAAGCCCTATACATCGGGCTCCATGCTGGGCACGGAGCCTACTTTAAAATATATATATATTATAGGGGCGCCTCGGTGGCTCAGTCGTTAGGCGTCTGCCTTCAGCTCAGGTCATGATCCCAGGGTCCTGGGATCGAGCCCTGCATCGGGCTCCCTGTTCTGCGGGAAGCCTGCTTCTCCCTCTCCTGCTCCCCCTGCTTGTGTTCCCTCTCTCGCTGTCTCTCTCTGTCAAATAAATAAATAAAATCTTTAAAATATATATATATTATAAAAATAAGCTTGAGAAGATCTGATAAGAAGTTCATTAGATTATAAGATCTACGATGACAGGAACTGTAATCGCTGTTATTTACTTCTCAAATGTTGGTCTAAATGAGCAGTTTGTTCTGAGAAACATTTAAGGAAAGAGTAAGAGGCACAATCACAAGAGGAGGGAACAACTATATGTTCCATTCCTGTCAGAGGAGAATCTCTATGCTTGTTATTTTCGGAAAAGTAAAATAAACTTGCTTTGTAGTGAACATGGCATAATGTAAAACTTGTCAAGTTACTTTACTGTACACCTGAGACTAATTAACAGTGTCAACTATACTCATATAAAAATAAATTTGATTTCACGAAAACAAGGGCAAATCAATCTGTTAAAACTTAAATCACTGACAGCTCCAGAAAATAAATCTATCATAATTTGCCACAAACATTGTAATACCTATCCCATCTGATACAGCATATTTCCTTATATCTGTACCTACACGTAGTGCACGTTCTTGAGAAGAACTTATAATTCTTTTTTTTCAATACATATCTTACCATTTCTAAGATGTTTTATTTTCATAACTTTGACTTAAATCAGTAGTGACTCCCAAAATTGTTTGTCTTGCCTTCTTTAAAAAAAACCTCTTTCCTCTTTAACAAAGAAATAATGATCCATAAACACTTCAATCTACTAGAAACAGCTCAGAGAACTCTGTTGGGGAAAGTAAACTACGTCTGGAATGGGAATTATCAGCCACTAATATCTGTTTCTGGATGACACTTCTAAGGAACTGCAAAGTTAAGAGATAAAGAACTATGAATATTCAATGAGCAAGTAACTGGTTCTGTAACACTACCTACTATTTGTAAACTAGGAGCTTCCAATCAATCACATGCCACATACAGGCACCCAGTCTCGGCAGCCAAAGTGAACTGACATGCAAAACCCAAACCCTGAAAGTCATCTTAGACTCCTCCCTCTAGCATCCTCCACATCTAACTACTCACCAGGTTCTAGCAATTCGGCCCACTCAAGTCGACTATTCTCTCTTTTCCTCCCTTTTCAACCACAGCTGCCTTAATTTCAATCCTTATTATTTCTTCCTCAGATTACTGCTTTGCTTCTTTAGTGATTTCCTTTTTCACCCTCTTTCCCCTCCAGTCCTTCTTCCATGTTGTTACCAATGCTCAAGAACAAATCTGAGGTTACTCTCTTGTTTATCAAAAACCTACCACAGTATTTCCACTTCTGGCCAAGACTGAGTAACTGGGACCAAAGTTATTGTCCTGCCTGAAACAAAAAATTCAAACTGAAAATATATAAATAAATAATGGTTTGCAAGATGCTAGAAGTCATGTAAGGAAGAGGAATCAGGGTAATAGGAAACATGAGGTGAAACCTGTAACTGCCCCGCTTACTATATTGAGGGAGTTTTCAGGTTGCAGGGCACACAATACCAATCAAAATCTCAGCTGACCTTTTTCGTAGAATTGACACAGATTCTAAAATTCGTATGGAAAATGCAAAAGACCTAGAATAGCCAAAACAACCTTGAAAAAGACAAAGCTGGAGGCCCAACACTACCCAATTTCAAGACTTATTATAAAGCTTCAGTAATCCAAATAGGGTGGTACTGGAATACAGACAAACAGATCAACAGAATAAAACAGAGTCCAGAAATACAAACAGGTGCATATGGATGAATGATTTGACAAAGGAGCTGAGGCAATTCAGTGAAGAAAGAACAGTCATTTCAACAAGTTGATGGTACAACTATCATATGCAGAACAAAACAAAACAGAACAAAACACCTTTGATCCATACTTCGAGCCAAAAACATACATTTAGTCAGAATGAATTACAAATCTAAATGTAAAATCTAAAACCATAAAACTTCTAGAAAAAATTATGAAGAAAATCTTTGAGATCTTGGGTTAAGAAAAGAGTTCTTAAATACAACACTAAAACACAAGCCATAAGAGAATAAATTGATAAATTGGAGATCACCAAAATTAAAAACTTCTGTTCCTCCAAATAATCTGTTAAGAGCACAGAGTGGGAGAAAATACAAATCATATATCTCATAAAAAACTGTATTCAGAATATATAATTCTCAAAATTGAATAATAATAAAAAGCCAT